TTGTGCAATTTATCCTCCATCCCTCCGTCCAGCATTCAAAAACAAGTACATAGAATTTCCGCAATTTTTCCACCCACTCCTCTCACTTTCTTCATCCTTCGCGGGAAGACTATTAAAAAAAAGTACAAACAAGCTGATACAAAGGAGAAAGAAAAAACATGTGTATTGCCAGAAGTCGATTTTGGTGGTTGGAAATGACAGATATGGTGGGACATGTGAAGTCCGTCATATCGAGAAGACTGCAAGCGGCGGAGGTCGTAAGGTGCGTTACGAATCGAGGCTATGATGCACATTTAAAAAGAACTAAAAACACTTCGAATCCACACAGAACAGAACTACCGTCCGAGACAAAACTAGAAAGAGTGTTGCTGAAGAAAACTTCCTATTGTTGATCGCAAATTGCCTCAGTGCGGCAGCCAGGTCTAGGATGACATATCGTTTGAGCTCGTGCAAATATGTGATCTCAAACGACCTGATAGCGAACATGGAATGAAGCAAATTGTCGAACGCCAGACCCAGATCGAAAAGTTTAATCTTCGTCATTTTGCGATAAATCATTGACATAGCCACTACCTCTCTTATGAGCCTGTCGCATCTCATGCTCATAATTGTACACACCGCGGCGTCGGTTTAACATATCCTCAACAGGGCTTTGTCTGCGATATCTGAGTTGCTCATTTTCTAGGGTTTCTGAATGATTAGCTTCTTCTGGGGATGTAAGACGTGGATAATTGTACCCATCAACTCCAGGGCTGTTGCAGTCCGCAACAAGGTCCATGAATCGCTCTTCGAAATCTGTAAGGTTCTTTTTCGCTTTATATAGTTTACGACGATCCTCGGCCACATTATTATCTTCCTGCATCAGATTTTGGCTGTTGCTAATGCCTAGATTTTCATTCATGTGAGTCTCTATAGTATCAAAGAGGAGTAGAGATATTTACCGTTTTCAGGATGATTAGTACCCAGTTCACTTCCAAGATAGTTCTCGACTTGTTCATGGACATGGCGAAACAGACGGTTATTTAGGCTGAGACACACACTATCCGCAAATCTGTTCGCTGCAACAATATAATATCCTCGAACGTAAGCTGCAACATCGATTTGAACGTCAAAGTCATCTCTACCCAATTGTTCCGGGGTAACCTGATTTACGAGGATCTGTCTCGCCTTATTATATTCGGGAGTAGATTTTTCCGCTTTGATTTTTTTGATATTCATGGCTAACTGTTTGTCAACAAAGCAATTAGCACAATGCTTGTGACGAGATTGCTGAAGCTTCTCCAGCTCAACCTTCTTATTCTCGTTGATGCCGTCCTCCATCAAAGTGAATGGAGCGAAGTTTTCCGTTTGATATATATCTTCAAGTGTTTGGAGTTGTTGTTCTTGAAGCTTGTCAAGCCATGCATGAATAGCTTTCTTCGATCTCTTGAAGAGGAAAGTTTGTCGATAGATACCCAGATGCTTTTCCAGAATACCTTGCACGGATAAACGTAGTATTTTCATGGCGGCATGAAGGACTGCTCTGTATGGCTCTTTCCACCTACTTACAGCTTTCTGACAATAAAATCGGTGAATCCTGGGATCCACTACCTTTGGTAGACCATAGCTGCTATTCTGCATTCTGTCTTGAATATCGCCAATGGTCGCAAAATTTCGACCAAGTCCTACATATTCCTGAAAGACGGTTCCTCGGAAAGGGTTTGACGGACCTCTGGCATTGAGTATTGGTCTTGGTCTGGATATTTCAGGGGTCGAGTTTTCTGCTTTAAATGTTGGCGGGGGAACAACATCACTACTTACATCTTGGAATCTGCGCCTCCTACCAGATGTATCGGGTGCATCAACAAATGCAGGTTCTTCATCATCACTTTCGTCAAGACTAATGACCGGGATTTTTAGTTTGTCTGATTTATGCGAGCTGCCGATCGATGGCTTAATATGTATCAACAAGTCGTGAAACTGGCGCGAAAGCTTGGTCCAATCCCCATGGAAATTGGTTTCAGTATGCTCACTGGTCACAAGTCTCTTTACTTCTTGGCTGAAATTATGCAATAATCTCTGAACCTCAAGTTGAACGTTTTGGCTCGGCAACTCTGGAAGCTTCCGGAGATCTTCATCGATCTTAGCTCTATACGCACTCAGTTTCTTCTGTATTTGAGGGATGCTATAAATGTTAGATAGCTTCAATAATCAAAGGGTACCCGGATACTGACTCTTCCTTAATCGAAGTCACGAGGAGTTCAGAAAGTACATTTTGAATTCGGTTGGTACCACATCTGTTGAGGAAATCAGACCATGGACCGTTCCACAGTGGATCGATTGCAAAGAAGTTTTTCTCTTCTTCGCGAGCGGTTGCATGATAGACCGATTCGTCTGCTCGAAATTCTTGCCCAGGCTGTTTGGTAACTAACCAGCCATGTCCCAGTCGATGTTCCTTTCCTCTCAGGATATTCTCGAAATCTGTGTTACCTGTCCTATCTGCGAGAGTGTCTGGCTTTGTTAATACTCCCACGCATCGATTTGTCGCGTTCAAATCTTCGATAACCTTTTTTGCTCTCGATAAGACCGGATCAACAGTCATACTCATGGCAAAGATGATCAAAGTATTTTCTTGTTCGATATATCTGTGAATTGTGAGCATAGTTGTGAAATTTTTTGGGAGAAAAGTATCAATGGACTTTTTTGCAAGGCTTTCGAAAACATCCACCAAGTATTTCTCTTCTGGGTTGGGCATATTGGAAATGATACCAGGTAAATCGAAGAACGAAAGAGCAGGAAGTTGAGGTCCATAAATCTTGACTTCTACAACATTAGGGGTTATTTTTGCCTCTATGTCAGTATTACCCGCTAGAGCTCTTTCTCCGGTACCAGGTATAAACTGCTTGTAATCCTGGTCATGGTTAAGTAGAGAAATTTGAGCCCATCTCATGTATTCCGCGAGTTTTGATTTGTCTGTGAGTCTAGCAAACTCAGTTCGGACCTGATCTTGTCCAACCCAAGGCGGAAATGGTTGGTGTTGATTTACGTCCATAATTGTCACTGGTCGTCCTTTTCGCGCGTCGTACCTATAATCCTGAACAAGTGAAATTGTGCATGACCAATCTACCGATGGTGTTGTAATTATGTTGGCGGGACATCTAGTACAACAACCTTTGTCGCGAGGTACATGTATGCCTGCCAAGGCACACATTAGTGATGATTTTCCAGCGCTCTGGTCCCCGACAAGAATGAGTTTGGGAAGGCTAGCAACATGCTCAAGTTCAAATTTTCGCATCTCATTAATATGATCGATCAGCTTCTGGGCAAGCTCGCCGATCCGCTTGATACCATCGCCGTTCTCCATCTCGATGGTAGCAGATTTGCTTCTATGGTTATTATCGGCGAGGTAATAGGAATTAGGTGAGTATCCTGCCAGTCACTGGTGATTAGCTAACGTACAATGAAGCATTTGGATAACCCAGCTCTCACTATTGTCAGAATGACGAGCCGGATCAGATTCAGGCTGTTCGGATTGAGCTTGAGACTCTATGGTGCTTTGTAGATCTTTGGTGGCCGGTTTTTCCTTCTTGACTACCTGATGACGTGGTGGGAGTTTTGTGCGTGAAGAAATTGACAATTGGCCATTCGTGGGATTGAAGTCCTCTTTCCGATTTCTGGACACCCGATAAGCCATGATGAGGACGGTTTATATAAAGTTTGGTAGTGTTGTCCTGCATCAAGTGTGTATTAGCTACTGCATAGATCGATAAACTTAGAGGCATACGGAGTTTTAAGATCGCCTTCCGCTTCATCCCGTACATGTAAACATCAAAAGATCGGAATGCCATACCGTGCAATAGTAAGAGCTGGAAGCATCAAATGGGATCTTAGTTTGATAAAAACAAAGGTAGAAGACTGTTTGATGAGATTTAAGATCGTTCCAACTCAGAATCAGCCAGCAGAACGCACTGAAAACTGCGGGAGAGGATTGTTGCAAGGCAGCAACTTGGAATTGTATACAGAAAGAGAATAATGGCGAGTAAGTTCGAGATTTCTGCAAATAGCTTTGCAGAAGTCAACGAAGACTTAATACAAGGGACAAGAAAATTGGATGGAGGAAAAGTTGAAGGTGAAAGAAAAGTAGAAGATATCAAATATTCTCAAAATACGCGAGCGTGACCGTATAGAGTGTTTGCATATGGTCTGAAGGCCAGAAAGAATTTATGGAATGAGAGGTAGGGAAGAATATGAGAGTGAAGGATAAATTGGAAAGAAAGGCTTAGGAATCGCCGATTGGAGAAAGCTGAATAACCTCAATTCTATAGCTTTGTTTTGTTTTTATTTGATATCATTTTGGTATACTTCAGACGACTATCAGATTTGTATAGCCCTCCCCGCCAAAAATGATAGATACCTACAAAAACTGCAAAGAATTGCCAAACAAATTTTACAGACGCTGGAAAATCTGATAGAACTTCAGATATGCAGCTGTATCATTGAATGGACCTTGATCCTGTACCTGCTGCCAGTTTGGGGAATTCAGAGATAATTTGGTGATGTTTGGACTCAAAATTGACAGACTTCACTCTAATCACCCCGCGGTAACGGGTAGTTGAGTCTTGATCCATGTTAATGTGATGCGCCTATCCAATGAACTGGATTCTGGTGGCTAGGATTCTTGAGATTTGCTTTTTTGACTCGGCTTTGCACATTGACCGAGCCAGAAGCTCCCTCTCCTATAATTTGTATGATCGAGTCTCATGATTGAATATGGTGAGTGCGGTATAATAATGACCGTTATTAGACGTGGTGAAGTGTGATCGGAGTGAAAAATATCGCTAGAATGAGGGGAAAGAAAGTAGAGTCACGAGCTACGTACTAGCTCTAGCCTTATACCTTATCCTCTTATCTTCACATGACTTGAGCTGATTTATGCTTTACGTGCACGTGCACGGACCATTAAGGCCCCTAATTTCAACGGAACAAGCCATACTATTGAAATTCCACAGCTCTAGAACCAATGCCAGGTGTTCATGTTACTGTTCATGTTAATTTTCGCAGAATTATATTGATCAACATCCATATAAAAAAAAATATCCTCAGCACTTCAATCATTCAAAATGTCCTTACAAATCCCACATAGAGCAAGACCAGGCAGCGCTGCTCAAGCAGCAACAAAGGCTGTTATTCTGGTAAATTTCTACTCATGAAAGTAAACAAATGCGCAAGGAAGAAGGCTGATGATGAGGCTGCTAGGTTGGTGGACCATCCAGAGGAACCCGCTTTAGACCATTGTCCTTGGATCTTCCAAAGGTATAGACAATTATCTTCTTTTCTTCCGATGTTTGACTAACATTCCTTACCTATAGCCACTCTTCGAAGTTGCTGGTCATCCCATCGTTTGGCACTGTCTCACCGCCATCGCAAAAGTCCCCTCCATCGAAGAAGTATGCATGATCGGTTACTACGACGAATCCGTTTTCCGCGATTTCATTAAGGATGCTGCACACGAATTCCCCCAAATCAAGATCGTTTATCTTAGAGAATACCAAGCTTTGGGAACTGCTGGAGGTCTATACCATTTCAGAGATGCTATCCTCAAAGGGCGACCAGAACGTTTCTTCGTTCTTAACGCAGATGTCTGCTGTTCATTCCCATTGAATGATATGCTCAAGTTATTCGAAGACAGAGATGCTGAAGCTGTCATTCTTGGTACCCGTGTCAGTGAAGATGCTGCCAGCAACTTTGGTTGCATCGTTTCCGATGCGCACTCCCGCCGAGTTCTTCATTACGTCGAGAAGCCAGAATCGCACATCTCGAATTTGATCAACTGCGGTGTTTATCTCTTTGCAACCGAATGTATCTTCCCTTCCATTAGAACTGCCATCAAGCGCCGTACGGACCGCCCACGTCTCGTTTCCTACCCATCCTCCGAGAACCTCGACTCCTCATTCTTCCAAGATGATGAAGATGTACAAAAGAATGAAGTTCTTAGATTGGAACAAGATATTTTGAGTGATCTTGCCGACAGCAAACAATTTTTCGTTCATGAGACCAAGGATTTCTGGAGACAAATCAAAACCGCTGGCTCGGCTATTCCAGCTAATGCCTTATACCTCCAGAAGGCATCGCAAACTGGTTCTAAGGAATTGGCTAAACCATCTGCCAATATTCTCGGACCAGTATTCATTCATCCAACTGCACACGTCGACCCAACCGCCAAACTTGGACCTAATGTTTCGATCGGTCCTCGTGTTGTCATTGGCCCTGGTGTTAGAGTAAAGGAGTCTATTGTCTTGGAAGATGCTGAAATTAAGCATGACGCTTGTGTCCTTTACTCAATCATTGGATGGAACAGTAGAGTCGGTGCTTGGGCTCGTGTTGAGGGAACTCCTACACCAGCTAATAGCCATACTACCAGCATTATCAAGAATGGTGTCAAGGTTCAAAGTATTACTATCTTGGGTAAGGAGTGTGGGGTTGGTGATGAAGTTCGTGTACAGAACTGTATCTGTTTGCCATTCAAGGAGTTGAAGAGGGTACGTTTTTCTATTCTGTGGTACTCTCATATCCTAACTAACAACAATAGGATGTTTCCAATGAAGTCATCATGTAATGGATTGATGGGATTCATGTATTCAGTGGAATTCACAATTAATACTATGGCGTTCTTACTCGAGGTTTCCACTCACCGCTCTCCGTGATGATTAAAAAGAGAATGGTTCATTTCATAGATCAAAATCCATTTTGGTTAATTCAATATTATTTTCTGAAACATCGTGCCCAAATGTTCGGAATGTAGAGTCTTGATCGTTTTCAATATATGTGTGGGACAATACTCGGCTCGGTAGCACAGGAATGTATCGGGCATCTTATGGAAATAGCAAATTGACTTGGCATTTTTCCATAACAGCCCTTTTCTCCATTCATGAAAAAGTATTGGTCACTGCAGCAAGATTACTAACCCTCAATACAACATACCGGGATGGACGAAATATCTCCAATCGACCCCGATTATTTACCGCCGTGGTATGGTGAATTGAATCCAGCAAATAATAGAGGTATGTTAGGATGCATTTTGGCAGACTATAGCTGTATGATGTCGAAAAGAGACCTCAAACAGAATGCGAGTTTGTTATTCATCAAAGTCTAGAGCATGCATGGAAGGTTGGCGTGATGTCATAAGACGATGTATCGTATTGGTGCGGGGAGAATGCTTCTTCTTTGTATGGAGGTGAATATTTAAGATTGAGAAAATCCTCAAGATTTTGCAATTACCATACACAGTTCAGTCTACTCTTATCTCCAACGATCATCATATAAATCGCAATAGTGATAGCAAAAAACAATGTCAACACCAACACCTCATCCTCAACATGGCGTTCCATGTGGTACCAGTACACCACGACCAGGTCTTCTTAACACACCTGCACCTGGTGTACGTCCTTCAATTCTCCCCCAAAACACAAATCATTGATATCGTCTAGGTCCCCTTCTACACCCCTCTCCAAAGTCCCCCCTCAGGCACAGCCCTCCATCCCAGTCCTTCAACCCCCAAACTCTTCACTCCTCTCAAAATCCGCTCTCTCACTCTTCAAAATCGCATTATGCTCTCTCCAATGTGTCAATACTCCGCTTCCAATGGCCACTTCACTCCCTGGCACATGGCTCATCTAGGCGGCATTATCTCCCGCGGCCCGGGTCTCTCAATGGTAGAAGCCACCGCTGTTTTACCCGAAGGACGAATCACCCCTCAAGACAGCGGATTATGGTTAGACTCGCAAGGCGACAAACTACAAGAAGTTGTCCAATTCGCTCATTCCCAAGGCCAACTAATCGGAATCCAATTAAGCCACGCCGGGCGAAAAGCAAGCATGGTAGCCCCATGGCTCGACCGCGCCGCCGTCGCAACAGAGGATGTAGGCGGCTGGCCCAGCAAAGTCAAAGCACCAAGCGCTCTTCCCTTCGATGATCATCATTGCACACCTTCTGCCATGACACTTGACGATATCCAGGAATTTAAAAACGCATGGGCTGCTTCTGTGAAACGCGCATTGAGAGCTGGATTCGACGTGATAGAAATCCATAATGCGCATGGGTATCTCCTTCACGAATTCGTGTCTCCGGTTTCGAATAAACGGGTGGATATGTATGGCGGGAGTTTCGAAAATCGTATTCGTCTGACCCTTGAGATTGTGGAACTTACAAGAAATATTATTCCAGAGGGAATGCCGCTTTTTCTACGGATTAGTGCGACTGATTGGTTGGATTATGAGGGGTTTGCAGAGGAGAGTTGGACGGTGGCGGATTCGGCGAGGTTGGCGGGGATACTGGCGGATAGGGGGGTGGATTTGTTGGATGTTTCATCGGGGGCCAATCATCCGATGCAGAGGATTGTGGCGGGATTGGGGTATCAGGCGCCGTTTGCGAAAGTGATTAAGAGGGCTGTAGGGGAGAGGTTGTTGGTTGGGTCCGTGGGGATGATTGGGTGTGGGAGGCAGGCGGAGAGGTTGTTGATGGGGAGGGGTGGGGAGAGAGGGGTGGATGGGGGGGAAGATGGAGAGGGAGAGGGGGGAGGGACGGAATTGGATTTGGTGATTGTGGCGAGGGGGTTTCAGAAAAATCCGGGGTTGGTCTGGGAGTGGGCGGAGGAGTTGGGGGTTAGGATTATGGTGGCGCATCAGATGAGGTGGGGGTTTAGGGGGAAGGCGGGGGGACATTAGAGGGGGGTTGGGGGTTTGAGTTGGGGGTGGTGAGATGAGAGGGTAGATGAGATGAGATTTATGTGATTGGGATTTGTGGTTTTACTTCCTTATCTGCGTATACGTATACTTCAATCTAAATAAAACATTTGATTCTTGTATCCCTTCTTCCACGTCTCCTCGCTTTCTTATTTCTCCGGATAACCTTGTTATTCTTTAGAAAATGTACCCTCTCTACAAATGTTATCGTGGTTCCAAATCACGACTCAGTACTTAGTACACTAGGAATACAAATCCGCACATGCGACCTCTCTGCACTCATACGATCTAGTCTTCCTACTACAATATTCAAATACCATCTCATCCTATCTCACCCCAACTTATCTATCCCAAACCATTCGATCTCAAATTCTATCTACGAACTCTATATCAGCCCATATCATGCGGGCTGGATATAGAATGCATGTGATATGATAGTAATTGTGAAGTGAAGTAAAACAAAGCATCTCACTATCAAATACAATAAATAAAAAGGCAGATGGCAAGCGTACGGGGAAGTGAGAAATATACACAACGACATCTTTCTTATACGAGTAATTCCATTACAAAGGTCTTGTAACAAAAATCTATCAGACACAATAGTCTTGTGAGTTTTGAGTGATACAACAGCTGTTCAATTCTAATAGACCTAGCCTTCTATCTTCAACTTCTAGAATTCATATATTCTTTTGTGGAAGGATAATGAATCTCGTAACTCCTGTTCCTTAGGATTTCTATAAAACGTTTTTTACATAGTTCGGTATTCTGTGTATATGGGGCAAGATTGATAACATATCATAGCATATCATACAAGCGCATAGATAGTCCAGTGATCGATATCCAGAATCCAGAATCCAGAATCCATATATCGAACTTCATATTCCCGTCGAAATTGATCCTCTATAGATTTATATCTGTATAACTGTGATTTTCATAATACGTGGATGTCTAGAATCTAGACACTTGTTGTTAATATCAATATTGCTCATAGTGACGAGAAAGAATGATGGATGATTCAATGACGCGGGAATCTTGGGGTCTTTGTGGTTTCTTGGGGGGCTGCTTGGTTGCTTGTTACATATATCACCTACGAATCCGCACGCCTTCAGTGAAACAGGACATAGATGGTACCGGTCCTCAAATATGCAATCTTGAGCACGATTTGGTGCCAGAGTACCGATTAACACAGGAGCTTTATCGCAGCGCGGTCAAACTGGGAAGGTGTATGGTTCTTCGAAGTTATATCTTATCATATCACATCATAACAACCTTCAGAATCATTCTTCGTTTCGAGCATTGGGGATATGAAAGAGTATTGCCCAGAATGGAGTTTCTCATCGCTTGGGTCATTGTTCCTTACCTGTAGTCATCATGCTGGGTTTTGCGGTCGCTTGTTGGGGCTTAGCTACTATCTCATCGTCTACCATGGAGAGTTCACGGTACCCTTGTATACTAAGAGCGAAGTTTCAATTCTCTTCGCAAAAGGGATTGCATTGTAGCATAAACTCATCATTCTCACTTGCGGCAACACAGAGAGTATGTTCCAACTCTGTCCTCTGCATGTCAATCAGTTGCAGACATACTACTACACTGCCGATATTCTTTCATGGTTAACTAACTTTTCTACCTTGTGATCTAACCTTGGAGTAATATCGTAACTACGAAGCGACTCTTTGGGGAAACCCCTAATTTAAGCCACTAGCATGAATAGAAACAATCCATGGAAACATCAGGACTAGCAATTGGTAGAGTATCATGAACAGAGTAAATATTCAATGGTTCTCAAATCCCAGAATTCACATGAGAGATACCGCCCAGTTTCTTTTACTGATGATTCAGGTCTGAAATTAACGTAGCAAGGTCTCTATATCTGCACCCATTATCACTACTAGACAGAGTCATCTTAAACGCTATCAAAAACGCTAGCCGGAGCCCCATAACCCGTGAATCTTTTATAAACCCATCATTCCCCGAAAAAAGAAAGATAAAATGTACAAAAATCTCAACACACGTGAGTGAGCATTGATTCTGAATGGTCACTACCCATCCATTACTTTGCAACCAATAACCGACCAATAAATCCTAGCTTGAAGTGACCAACCAATCATTCCCCCCAAGTTTACGACTGCGAAACTTGGAGATTGGAATAAAGTATCTGCAATTGTCAGAAAATACCCAAACCAATAGATTTCGCAAGGAATCTCCTTTTCTACATCTGAATCTTAGGTAATGCCAGTCTAGATGATTCATATATTGTGGCGTTGAGTATTAATGGTAAAGTAACCCTCATACATACGCCACCAGGTAGAAGACTGCAATGAGTAACAAAGTGGGGGAATGGGGGATTGGCTTGCTCGTGTCTGCGTGTGTTAGCTAAGTCATGCCCAATCTCCAAATAGAATGAATGGTAAGAGAAAGTTAGTTTGAAGATATCAATATATTGATACTATGTCGAACATGTTAACTATAACATGAGAGAGTACCGACTCGGTAATTAAAGGAGCCCGAGTAGATTGTAGATCTCGATGTCTAGCATATTGACGTATTGACTCGCGAAGATATTGATACATCAATTTGTTAATGTCCTCGTATGCTGACTGATGAATGAGATGAAGAGATGATAAGGATAGCTTCAAGGGTTGTTTGTTTTTTTGATGGTCTCGACCTTTCTATTAATCTTTATGTTGATCAATCAAGAAACTCTTCAAGTGTGCGTGTATGCTTGTGTGTTGGGGAGTGACGACATCGGGTCTATGTCCCGATTGTATGATGGAGGGTGTGGCAGATGAAACATTAACTTGGGAGAAAAGAAATAAAGTTCTTGAATTGAGTTGAATCAATATAATAGTTGGAAATAATGAAGAATAAAAATTAGAATAGAAATAGAAATACAAAGAATAAGAAGAAAGAAAATAGGAAAAATAATAAAATTTATTATTATGATTGATATTGATAAAACTTTGTACACAATGAATGACTCAAATCCGAGGCATATTGGAGTCATCCATGAATTGTTACATAAACGTTGTCAGAGTGGCTGATTTCGACTCATTCTTGTGAAGATTTCCACTTTGATAAATTGGCCACCACTCGATATCAAATCCTTCGGGTTCCCCGTGATATCAGAAAAAAGAACATCAATATCAAAATCAACATCAACAGACAAGAATATCAACAACGCACAACAAAAAATATATCATCTGCGATTCTTTCTTACCGACTGATTATACGAAAACCTCGCTGACAATCCACTCAATTAACTCCCCATCCATCATACACCAAAAAGTCGTACTTTGTTATCTAGATCAACATTCCATACCGTCTTTTCAACATCATTCTATACCTATTCGTGACAACCCTCCGAGACCTCTTATGCCCAGCTCATCAATACCTCCTCAATCTTTAGATACCATGACATCCAATCTTTCAAATCCAACAGGTCAGAAGCTCTATTTACATATTCACCGCCTTCATCTTTTGCTTGATTTTCCCTATCTTCCCCTTATGCATCAACCTTAAAACCCGGGTTGTAGTGCATATTATGGCTTTCTGCCTGGGGTCATCTGCTTGCTTCAATAGAACTGATGCGTTGGCAGATATTACAAACAAACATGATTCCGCCTCACAAGCTCTCGAACCTCATTCTCCAAAGCCGCTGAAAACAAGGATATGTCGTTACTTCAGTAAATCAGGTAAAATCTCATCTTATTTTATTCAACCATCAATCGATTTGGAATATTTTCATTGGATTGCCGGAAATTGGGGAGAAAAGAGAATTGGAGGGTATTGTCTTGCATATGGGGTAATGCAAAGTTGCATGATGTTGCAGTCATGGTGGAGATCCCGTGATTCACCGATCATCGGTAATGAGCGTGGGATGTTGATATGATCATGGAGATGAATGGTTGGGGGTTATTTGTTGAACCGTGGCGTTTGTCATGAGGCGTTCGTATCATTACGATTCTCATTACCATTGGGTATATCTTGGGTTACACCACGTGATATTGGAAACACATGTGAAAGCACATGAAGAGGGAACCAGCTATACGATGAGGACAAGGTACTAACATTGATCTTTTAGGGATTTGTCGAGCTGGTGACAGTTGTTCATTCATCCATGACCCGACGAAACTTCCTAGCCGTGCCACGGTAAATACAACAGTGCCCGAGGTTTCTCAGGCTTCGATATCGGAAGCTACACAAAGACAAAATGTGATTCAAAATCATTCATCACAAGCTATCACAAATCCTGTTCCAGCATCACGGGTAGTATCAAAGCCGGTACCACAAGCACAAACTGAAAACCCTCGAGAATTTCAGCTCGGACAAATTCGAAGACGATTTTCTCCCAAGGAGATTCGACCATCTGGAAATGCCGAGGGTACTACTATTCTCAAGTTCAATCTCACACCATCTGATCCGGATTTCCCTTTTGAGATGACTGCTTTGGAATGTTCTCTCACAGTACCTCCTCGATATCCGACTTCACCACCTAGTTTGAGGGTAGAGAATAAAGATATTCCGAGAGGATTTGCTATCAATGTAGAGAATGGTTTTGATCAATTGGTTAATGAAAAGGAGAATTCTACCTTATTGGATTTGATGAAATCATTGGATAAGCATTTAGAAGAGTTTTTATCTGCGCAAAAAGCCGAGACAGTTAAAATCGTCATGAATAAAGACACGCGACATCTTTCCATTCCGAGCAGAGAAGTACAACCTGTGGTTCCACCACCTCAGCCTGAATCTGCAATGAAAGAATCAGAACAACCCAAGGTTACTCCAGTTAAAGCAATTGTAAGTTTCACGGAATCCGAGAAAGCTGAGGCATGGAAAAAAAGAGAGGTAGAAACCAAACAATTGGAAGCGAGAATGGGTAGATTACCCCTTTACAAGAAATCTAGTGATGGGATTGCATACAGCATTCCAATTGAACCCCGGAAGCGAGGAGATCTGCCACCGTCGATCAAAGCTGTTAAAGC